TCAGCAAATAAAAAGTTTGTGTTCCCTGTACTTAACATTTTAGAAAAATAAAAAATCAATGATTAAATTATGAAAAGTAAAATGCACAATGCCCACTGATTGAAAGTGCTATACCTAACTTTTATGTACATCATTGCCAACAGTAGTTCAGGCTAGCACATCGTCAGTCTCCTTTTAATTGATGAGTTGCCCCTTGGGCACAAGTGTCACTGTCAAGCTGTTAGACAGTAAGGCACTGCATTTTAATTACATCACACATCTGCATCTTGGTGAAAAAACTAATTTTTTGTTTTGTATTGGAGTAAACTGTACAAACTTCCGCAGTTTGATGATGATGGCATTCACCTTCCAGAAGAGGCTCCAGAAAATATCAGTTGCATTGTGTGTCTTCAATGTTTCATTTCGGCCGCCATTGGTCGCAGATAATGCTGAAGATTCGCTAAAAGACAAAAAAAGAAAAGAGAAGAAACGAGAAGATGCGTCGAAAGGAGGCCAGCAACAGCAGCAGCAGCAACGGTATCACAGCCAGCACTGTTATCCGTTGCTGCGATATCGTCTGCATCCACTGCTGCTGCTGCTTCTGCTCTTGAATGTGCTACCTCGATGGCAAGCGGTATTTTTAGTTGGACACTCAACTCAAAGAGGAGAGCGGACATTGAATTGTCTGCCNTGTGCTACCTCGATGGCAGGCGGTATTTTTAGTTGGACACTCAACTCAACGAGGAGAGCGGACATTGAATTGTCTGCTTAACAGTGTGTGTGTGTCGAGAGGCGCCGAGAGAAGGAGAGAACAGTGCCCAAGATACTTGGAACTTGATTTGAAGACATCGACGGGCGCAGGCGAGCAAGCAGGCGGCGAGAAACTAGGACAAGTAGTGAAACGTGTGTGAGTGTGTGTGTTTTGTAGTGCCTGTCCACTGCGGGACAAGGAGTGAAAGAGTGCAAAGAGTCAGTGAATGAGTGAGTCACTGAGTTGGTCGTGGTGGTGGTAGTGGTCGTCCAAGAAGTTTCCATCGTTGTTGTCTTCCACAAAGACAAGAGGAAGAAGGAGAAGGTGCATGGTGGCGTAGTGCAACTGATGCTCAAACTCAAACTCAGCGGCAGTCTTTCGGCAGCTTTGCAGTCTGTCTGTTCGGTTTCCTTTTGCTCTCTCTCTCTCTTCCTTTTTCTTCTCCTCTTCCGAAGCTCGGGTTTACTCTGAGCTCTGTTCAAGAGAAGAATACAAGCAACCCGTTTGGTTATTTAAGAGCAGGCACACATCCTCCGCATCCTCTTGCTCTCGCTTCTGCTGCTGACCGAAAAATCAGTCAGTCAGTCAGTCAGCAAGCTGCCGTGGTCGTTGCCATACTCACCTCATCTGCTTTTTCATCTGCCTCATCTGATTTCCATCTATTGCCATCACACACATGCACGCACACTATCACTGACAGTGACAGAAAACTAGCATACTTTTTGTCTTCCAAACTCATCATCGTCACTAACTTCATCATCATCAACATCATCTCCCACTTCATCGTCTACTTTCTGTAAGTGATTTTCACTCTCACTCCTTTAACCAGCTAACTGTCGCTTTTGAGCATGTGTGTAATGTTTCTGTCACCTATTCTTTGGTGAAAATAGGGAACATTGTTTAAAATGGGATGACAAGTGATGCTTGTTCTTTAAAAAATACAATTCTTGCAATTGAGATGCTGAGTGATCTCTGGACATTTCAATGCTCTTTATACCTTCTTTGCTTATCCTAGGTCTCAAACAGTCTTTATACAGCAGTTTTTCATTATCATTGAAGTTTTCGCCTTGTGGTTGCATCATGTATGTTATTACTACTGCTTCCCCTTTAGACATCAGTTTCAGCCTGTAATAAACATGGCATCTTCAAACGCCCGACACATACGCAGTCGTAAATAATCGAGGACGACCAATTTGACGCCAAAGGACGCTGATTTTATACTTTATGTTTTTTCTATTTCTCGCAGTTGATAGTTGCTGTGTCTATCAATACTAGGCATCAGTCCAGCAGCAGCAACAACAACAGGTCCAATTGAAACCACTGTAGCTCCTCATGTCTACTGTTTTTCTGTCGGTAGAAAACAAAATTGCTTCACTCGAAAAGCGATGCCTCTTGAACAGTGGCTGTCTGACAGGCGGCAATTTTGCGCCCCGTTCTGTACAATGGACTTCTCTCCTCTCACTGACATGTGTGTCGGTAAAGTCTTTTAGTTTTTCTTCTTTTTCTTCTTCAAAGTCAAACCAAATATAATCATTTACAAAGAAGGGCACCACCATCTATATATTTGCCACCGGCATTCTCCAGGCTGACTTCAGAATGGAACAACCTTTTCACTGCTTCGGTTGAAGTAGTTGTTTTCTGCTAAAGTTTATCAACCTTTTTATTATCTCATCTCGTTTATCACTATTCTTTGAAGCACTACCATTTTCACCATCCCTACTGCATGCTGAACTGAACACTGAACTGTGAGTGACCGTCAATAATAATGTTCTTAAGCGCACTTTTTTCCTCTTAGCCAGTCCGTTATTACAATTATTACTACTACTGTGTGCACTCACTGTGTGCATGTTAAGCAGCATTGAAGTAGACAGTTCACGACATGTCCTCGGTGGCCTTAGACTTCGTTTGTTGCCGCTGCTGTCCACTACTGTTGTTAATTGTTCCACAGTGAGGTAAAAAGACAGAGAATAGCAGTGAAGCAAATCCACCGCCATCACCATCACCACCACCACAATTTAGCACTGTGCCATTCACTGAAGTCTATCGAAAAGTCGGCGACTAAGGCCAAATCGGCAATTGTCCCCTCTTGTGCGCTCTTTCTCCGTTTTTTCAGTCATTCTTCTGTGTGTGATTGTGGAAAATAAACAAACACTGTTTTTCAACAAGTGCAGGTTTGTTTCTAAACGGACGATAAACGGCGACGTCGACTTTTGCAAAAAGAAGGCTTGTCGTTTTGTTCAGCAATTGGTTAGCAGCTGATTCTGGTTTTATCCCTACAACCAACTGTTGATTACTTCATTGCTTCCTCAAACCACTGAGTGCAGTCAATCGGCATTAAATTGGTTTGAAAATTGACTGTTGTTTACAAAATTAATTTAATTGCCAGCTAATCATCGCCAGTGTGTTTATGATGACCTTTGATAAGCTCAAAAATAGTATCTTTTTGGCATTGTTTGTGCTGCTTAAAAGAGAGTTTTCATTTTCATTTTGTACTTTTCTTTTCTCACCTTGTGTTGAGAGTATCATTTTTTCTTCTGTTTTTTAGCCTGCTCAGCAGTACTTAATTGGCCTCAAGGAAAAGATGGTAATTTGAGTTTTGTTTTGAAACACACTGAACCGATCGCGTGCTTGTTTGTCGGTAAAAATGCAAAAAATCGACCTTGTTAGATTACGTCCAATTTGTCAAAATGAAAACTTCAAATGACCATCATACTGTTTAAAAATGAATTGGAATATAACATGAACCTTGATCAACTTGTGAGTAACACTTTAGGGCAAGGTTTCTTAAAATCAATTTTGTTTGAACTTTAACCAACAGACATTAGTATTGGAATTTTATCTTATCAAATAGGCAATTTTCGCTAAAAAAATTTCAGTTTTTTCTGGTTAAGTGACTCCAAATAACCCTCTTTTTATGAGTTTGTAAGAAAAACACTGTTTCAAACATTCCTGCTCTGTAATGCACATTTTCCTAGACGGTGTTTGTGTGTTCACTTTCACTGCGCTCGAAAACACGCAAAGAGGACATTATTTGTCTGATTGACGACAGTTCTTGATAATCAGCTAGAGAGACAGAGGGAGGCAAGCTAAGAGCATTCAAGTGAATAGTCTCCGATGTTGATGTTGCCGTTGTTATTGCAAAAAGCACCAGGCATTTTATCTTTTTAGCATTTTTTCACTGTCCCTAATTGATGTTGACCACAACCACAACTACCAGCAGCAGCAATTGCAGTGGCGCCATGCGGCAACTACTGAGGGAGCAGCGTCAGTCAAAAAAAATTTCCCAGTTTCTCACCTGTCCACAATTTTAACCGGCGACAACAGCAGCAAAGTACTGCAGCCTTTCACACAGTCAATTCTTAGTGCTCTTCAAAGTGGTGGACACTACCGTCTGTTTAGCAAGAAGTCAAATAAAAGTAGAAGCAGAAGTGCGGTCTACTGCTCCGCCAATTAGACATCGTCAACTGCAACTTGTGTTATATACGATTGCACTGGGGAGAAAGAGCAGTGCCAGTTTGCAACTGTGACGACAATTCACACACACACAGCTTCTAGTGCAGTCCAGTGCTGGTGATGATGCCGGTGCTGGTCAGTATCTAAAGTGATGATCATCACTCTGCTTTAAAATAGTTTCTCCCTTTCTCGTTTTAATGTGAGTTCCAAATTGATGACAATCTGACCTACCAAGTCGTAGTCTGGGACTGTCTGTCTGTTTCTGTGTGTATTGATGTGTGTTTGCTTGCCGTTGCTACTGCTGCTGCCGTTCATTTCCCTGTTATTTAATTTGTGTGTTCCATTCCGCAGTTACACTCACTCACACAANCAAATTGATGACAATCTGACCTACCAAGTCGTAGTCTGGGACTGTCTGTCTGTTTCTGTGTGTATTGATGTGTGTTTGCTTGCTACTGCTGCTGCCGTTCATTTTCCTGTTATTTAATTTGTGTGTTCCATTCCGCAGTTACACTCACTCACACATTTGCAGCCACAAGCAGACAAACACACTGACAGAGCACAGCTTAAACTTTTTACAGTACAAATGTTGCTTTTAGCATATCATTACCATTGAGCATTGTGATTGACCACTCATTTCTCCTTTTTTCTTTCTCGCCCTCCTTTGCCTTCTTAGCTCTGCACACCTCAACAAACGACATTGTGCCATCAAGTTTTGCAATCCCTTTCTCCCTCAAAAATCTGCATTATAAATTACAAATTTTCTTCACGAGCTTTCTGCTCCTGTCGCCGCCGCCGCTAAATTCTCCGCACAGATATGGCACAGAAGACAAAACGTCGCACTGTGGTGCAAAATGAGGCGAGCAGAGGGCAAAGTCTGACGGACAAAGATCTAATCGAGATGGAGGAGAAGGACGAACTGCAGCTGGACACCGTGGAAACGCACGAAAAGGACGTCCACGGCGTGGACAGTAGTGAGCTGGTCTACTCGTACAAGTGGAGTGAAATCGTCTGGCGGAATGTCATCCTTCTCGGCGGGCTGCACATCGCCGCCGTCTACGCCTGGTTCCTCTTCATGATCGACGACAGCATCAAGTGGCAGACCAGCGTGGCCACCTTTGTCTTTGGTCTCTTCTCCTCGTCGCTCGGCATCACCGCCGGGGCACACAGGTATAATTGTCATACTGATGGGAGTGCAACTAATTACTCAAACACAAACATTTTTTTACAGATTGTGGAGTCACAGAGCCTACAAGGCTAAATGGCCGCTAAGGTAGGCTTCTTTTTGCATTTGATTTATTCCATTTTAACCTCACATTTTTACTAAATTTTTCTAGACTTCTTCTTGCATTTGCCAACACCATGGCTCTGCAAAATGACATCTACGAGTGGTGTCGTGATCATCGAGTGCACCACAAATTTTCAGAGTCCAATGCCGACCCGCACAACTCTCGACGAGGGTTCTTCTTTGCTCATATGGTAAGCACCGTACTGAAATAGATATTTACAGCTTTTGGTGTTCTAATTAAATTATACTATTTTAGGGATGGCTTCTACTGAAAAAGCACCCCGATGTACGGGAAAAAGGTAAGCAACCTCATAAGGTGCCAAAATCCTCTTTTTATAATTACCTCAGCGGCCAGTCGCCATTATTATTTCATCACATCTTTTTTTTCTTCTTTTCACCGTCTAACTGCCTGTCTGTCTGTCTGGAAAAATACCATTGTTAGGACAAGCTCACACACTCCGGCTACTACCGGGAGAAATTCAATGAACGTTAAGGGCAAATCTGTGCAGATGCTTCTGCCACAGCAGCGCTGCCTTTTTATTGCCTCACTGCTTCAGTGTACTCGGACAGTCGGTGCACTTAATCACATTTGCCCGCGAATTTATTGATCGATTGTCTGGAATTTAAGTTTGAGCTCAACCAGACTGCTGTTGTTTCTGCTGCCGTTGCTGCTAACCGCCAGTGTGTACTCAGAAGAGGGTCTAATAATAGAGTGGCACTTGTCTTGCTCACTTCACTCTTTGCCCCTTTGGCGGTGACTTTTTGCGCCAAAGCACACACACATTCACAATTGTCCCTCTACTGTCCAAGAGGCATCACCTGTTGAACAGCAAAAAATTGGCTTGAACTGTTCCTTCACCCTACACAGACAGTGACAAAGAGGAAGAAGTGCTTGGACTGAGATGAGCAACATCAGCAGCACTGTGCACTCGATGAGATTTGTTTGGTTCAGTACTGTGCAGTGCAGCCCGGTAAATGGCTATTTCGGGCTTTTATATGCGCTTTGCACAAACAAATTGTGCACGGTGCTTAGAGATCAGCAAGACAAGAAGAAAAGAGGGAAAAAAATTAATGTTTGCTTGTCAGGCACTGAGCATTTTATATCATCATTATTATTTTTAATATTTCATCGTCCGCTTACTGTTTATTATTACTGCTGGACTACAAAATGAAACGAGCCGAAACAAACAGCAGTTGAAAGGAAGGATGAGATAGTAGTCTAACTTGTCCAGCGACCTCGGTAGACTTTTTATTTTCTTTTTGACCACTTTTTTTGTTTTATGTTATTTTATCTCTCCACCTTTTTAGGTCAAAAGATTGACCTCTCCGATCTGTGGGCTGACCCGATAGTTCGTTTTCAGCGACGTTTCTACATTCCACTGATCATCCTCATCTGGGGCTTCATTCCCACTTTCATTCCGTACTACTTGTGGGGCGAGAAGCCAATTTACGCCTTCCTTGGCTGCGTTTGCTTCCGCTACGTCTACGTCCTTCACTGTACTTGGTAAACTTCAGTGACAACCTACCTTTGACAATATGTCTCTGGTTTCTGCTTACACTTTTTTTCTGTTTTTACACAGGCTGGTAAACAGCGCCGCCCACCTGTCCGGTCACCGGCCATACAACAAGAACATTGAACCGCGGGAAAACAACTCCGTTGTGTACCTTGCTTTTGGAGAGGGTTAGCTTGCCAAACGTTCCAATCCTAAAAACTAATTATTTTGTACTACCACATCAGGCTACCACAACTACCACCACACCTTTCCCTGGGACTACTCCGCCTCAGAGCACGGCTTTCGCTACAACTTCAACATCACCACTCTGCTGATTGACTTCTTCGAGGTGATCGGCCTGGCATACGACCTGAAGAA